TTTTTACAAACTGAGCTAAAATATTGTCACATTATCCATAACGTTTACTCCAGCAAATACATAAGAAGTACAGCCTCATTGCCTTATACTGCTGCTCAACTATGACCCCCATTCCTGTGGGCTGAATCCAATCCATCCCTATTCACAGGAAGGTTCATTCTATTGCAAGAATACAATTTCAGATCCTTGAATTGTGAGGACCATGGACCACATTATCTCTTGCCTTCATGCATTGCATAAAGTTAAGTTTCTGGACAGGCAATTCTTCCTGTTTCAAAATTAAGACCTTCATGGTGAATTAGGCGCCGAAATTTCATCCCCATTGGTCACCTTGTTTAATCAATGTTCTCTTTATTATTTCTGCAGGCAGCTGCTGAAGGATTTCCTCTTATTCTTTTGTGGCTCTCCTAAATTATTTCATTCTGGCATGAATACATTTGGCTCCTCGATGTGCTTTTTCAAATAAAAATGGATATGAAAATTTATTTTAAAATGTACTTTGCTCATAAAACTTTCATTAAGTATTATTAGTGACTTAAGAGAGGAATTTAAATGTATTTCAAAGCATGATCTCTGCATTAAGAACAGAGATCGTCTGCAGGCTTACAAGGTTAGTGGACCCTGTTTGTCTTTAAATGGACAAGACATATTATCAGACATCTCCTTTGGTGACATTATTTCTTCTGGTGACTTGAAGGCAGGGTCATTTCAGTTAATTTTGGCTTCTGAGGGGGTCCTAACCTACAGCCTACTGTAATAACAACAAACATTTTGTTCCAATAGATTGTAGGCTAGGACCGCCTCAGAAGGTGAAGATCAGTGAATAAAAGGGTTCTTTTTTATTTGAGAGAACACCTATTTAGAAATTTCTAGATGTTCTAGCACCACTCCATGATAAACTTCTACTGGGACTTGAGCATAGAGTTGAGCTACAGAGCCTACAAATACATAAAGGTAAAGGTTTCCCTTTGACATTAAGTCTAGTCGTGTCCGACTCTGGGGGGTAGTGCTCATCTCCACTTCTAAGCCAAAGAGCTGGCATTATCTGTCGAAGCCTCCAAGGTCATGTGGTCGGCATAACTGCATGGAACACTGTTACCTTCCCACCAGCCCAGTACCTATTGATCTACTCACATTTGCATGTTTTCAAACTGCTAGGTTGGCAGAAGCTGGGGCTAACAGCGGAAGCTCACCCCACTCCCCGAATTCGAACCACCAACCTTTCGGTCAGCAAATTCAGCAGCTCAGTGGTTTAACCCACTGCACCACCAGGTGCTCCAAATGCATAGGAAATGCACTTCCTGTTGCCACCATGAATCTAGGTAATCCAGCATGACTCTTATTGTTAATATCTGGTGGAAGCCGACCGTAGAGTTTTCATTTAGAGATTCCTACACAGAACATATTAACCAAATCTTTAAAAGTGAAACTCACAGATCTGACCCTAACCTTCTACATAACTCAAGAGTAGAATATAGGTCTTCCTTCGACATGCTGATGATCGGAACCAAAGCTAAAAGTAGGAAAGGCAATCCCTTCTTCTCTTTCACTATGTCTTCTCTTTTCCATTATTTTGACCTACTGCTTTCACTAGAGATCTGCATTGCTTCCTTGCAGAAAAGTCAAATGAGGCTGAGATATTCAAGAAATTCAGACTAGTACCATTTGTGACACAAAGGCTATATGTTGCCCATTCCTGAACGAATCTGGTAGTTGCAAACCAATTGCTTTTTTTAATGATGTGATTTTTTTTCCTTTAAGAGCTTGAAAGAGTTACCTTTGAAAAGTACAGTTGACCATGCTCATTCTTGGAATTGTAGTTTAAAAAGTAATGTTTTTAAGCTCTGGTGCTAACTTACTAAATATACCATTTTGCTTGTCCAGGAGTGAGAAATAGCAAGTCTATCCTCTTCCCAAGCCCCAAAACAGCACATAACAAAACATTTGAATACTATTTTGGTGAATGAATAAGTATAATGAGCACATGGGAGAGAGGATTTGTTTTGAATATTAATCCCCAATCTCAACAACTTTTCTGACATCATCTTCTAATTTTTTTAATTAATTGTGATCTTCTGCTTGAGCAACTATCCAACCCATTATTTGCCACTTAAACCTATTTAATTCATGGGTAAATTACACTTTCCTCTTATCAAATGTAAGTTTAAAAGTTAATAATTTATTTCTATCTATTTAACATTTATTTATTTGCTCACCAGAGGTGGATGGGAGCTGAGCAAACAGAATCTTGACCTAATGGTGATAGTACTCTATGTGTGGGAGAAAAATGGCCTTGAACATATCCAGGTCAGTGTAACTGGATGAAGTAACTGTACCCAAAAACAGGTTTATTGTGAGAAAAAGCCTTATTTAGTTTTTAAAGGCTACCACATCTCCCTTATTTGTCTTTGTAAAGTGTTGCCAGCCCATTCCTCTACACTCTGTTAGCCACCACTACCAGCACCACCACCATGATCATCATCTGCTACTATTACTATTCCAGCCAGTAAAAATGACCCTTCCATGAGTTACCATACAAATAAAGGCATCTTCCACTAGCAATGTGTGTTTATGTGTCTTCAAGTCCAATTCATTTCAAGTTTATAAATTCCAAATGGCTTTCTTAGGCAAGGGATACTCAAGAGGTGGTTTACATTTCATTCCTCTGAAATATAGCCTACAGCACTTGATATGTGTTGGTGGTCTTCCATCCAAGTACTAACTGACCTTACTTAGTTTCCAAGATCAGATAGGATCTGGTACTTTTGGCTTCTATTCCACTAGCTACAGCTTCTTATTTTGTGCAAACATGGACACAACAGTTAACCATGGTTCAACCAAGTCCCACAGTCATTCAGCAAAGATTCCTGGACATAGCATCTCGTACAAAAGGGAACTGTCTATAGGCAAAAAGAAAAAAAATCTCATCATAGTTTATCTGATTAAGCATAACATACGATCATTAGACCTCTCACACTGTCTTCCAATGAGATTTCTTTGATTCCATAACAGAGTCTCAATCCTATATAACAGAAAACTATCATAAGTGAAATGAAGGCTGAGAAAAAAGTGACCAAATTTAGAAATATATTATGATGTTCCTTATCTCATTATTTTGCTAACATGCATTTTTTCCCTTTCAAAATTAGATCCTTTTTAAAACAGTCCAAAATAGCAATAAAAGAGAATGTGTGTCCTTGTTTATCTCTGCCATAACCACAAGACTGAAAGTCATATGTGCAGAATTTGGCTTTCACTCTAAGGGAACTTTAGGATGATATTCTTTAGAAGTATTTTATAACTGGTTGATTCATTTTTATTATAATCTGTTTCTATCCTGCAATGCTATCTATAAGCAGTATGTGGCAGATGTTCAACTTCCCCTTGCGATAAAGCCTAGGATAGTCATGTCTGCCCAGGGCCTCTAGGTAAGTTGTATATTTTGTTAGGCAGGAACCTGAACTCTTTGAATAAAAGTGTTTGTCGACATTATTTCATTCTCCTGATTAGAATTATGAATTTTAGTGTGTTATATTTTATATATGTTGAATGGGCATATCCCCATGTAAGCTGCCCTAAGTCCCTCTGGTGAGATGGAGGAGGGACACAAAAATAAAAATATTATATAATAATTATTATTAGGGGAGTGTTAGAGAGAAAATAAGACCAGCGATAAAGAAAAGGGGGAAAATAAGAAGTACAAGCCTAGTTGAGGGTTAAAAGGTTTCAAACCATGTGAATTTGAATACTTCTTAAAATCTATATAGCCAATTTGTCCTGCTGAAAAGCTCTTATATCAAAAATTCAAGGATAACACATTTATCTGATGAGCATATTACTACTGCATTTCAGGTTCACACAAAGAAAATTAATGATTCAGTAGGATTCCCCATGTAACAGGTTAGAAGGATCTGCAAAACCAAATAACCTGTCTGCAAAACAAAGAGAAACAAGGAACAAAAACACAGAACACGGTGGTCCACTCTCTCGGTACATCTCGAACAGACTACTGCAACACGCTCTACATGGGGCTGCCTTTGAAGCCTGTTTGGGAGCTCCAAGTAGTCCAATGGGCAGCAACCAGGTTGCTCACAGGAGCAACATACAGGTAGTATACAGCTCCACTGGCTGGCAGTCTGCTACCGAGCACAATTCAAAGTGCTGGCTTTAACCTATAAAGCTCTAAACAGCTCTGGCCCAACTTACCTGTCCAAACATATCTCTCCCTATGAACCTGTTACAAAGTTAAGATCTGAGGGGAGGCCCTATTCTCAGTCCCACCCCCATCGCAAGCTCAACTGATGGGGGTGAGAGACAGACCCTTCTCAGTGGTGGTCCCTCTGCTGTGGAACTCCCTCCCTCCTAGTTTTCTGGAAAGGAGTGAGGACCTGGCTATAGTATCAGGTGTTTGGATAGTGTAATATAGAACTAGCATAATGGTAACAACTTCTGCAATAGATACCATGGTTTTCAATGGTTTTAAACAGTTTATGGTATTTATGTTTTTTTTAAAAAAATTGTCTTTAAGTATATGATATATTGTGTTTTATTTTATTGTGTATTTGGCATTGAATATTATCATGTTGTAAGCCACTCTGCGTCCCTCTTGGGGTGAGAGAGAGCAGGATATAAATACAGTAAATAAATAAATAAATTTTCGACTTAAGTATATAATAATAACAACATAAATCACCATAGTGATGACTAGTATGTCCAGTTTAGAATCTGAGTCTTAAAATTTTCTTTCTATCGATAAGTGTGGCCTATTCAGTAACTATTCCTGGTCATAAAATTATTGTGAGACGGGTTCATCTATCTTGACAGAGGAAAAAGCCTAGAGGACACAGGTTATATCTATTCAGGTTTAATGATCAACTATGCTAACTTCACTTTTAAGAGCTGAACAGGAGAATATGAAAGACAAACTAAGTTCTACTAATACTATCACAGAGAAAGACTAATAACTGGAGGAATATTTTGACTATAACTACAGGGAAAAAATGAAATCAGTCCTGATATTTCTCTTTATAATTTCTTTAGTAATTTCAACTAGAACAGATGAAGACCATGATACTTCCTTTGAACCAGTAATTCCTGAGCCAAAGTCTAGGTTTGCCATGTTACAGGATGTGCAATTACTAGCCAATGGACTACTCCACCTCGGGCGTGGTCTTAAAGATTTTGCTGTCAAGACCAAGGGCCAAATGGATGGCATCTTTCAGAAGCTTAATATTTTTGATCGATCGTTCTCTGAGATTTCGCAACAAACCAACGAAATTAAGGAAGAAGAGGAACAACTAAGAAAAACAACAGCCAGACTACAAACTAATAATGAAGAGATAAGGAATGCATCTCTGGAGCTTAACTCCAAAATGCAGATCCTTTCACAGGAGAAGATTCAACTTCAAGACAAAGTAGAGAGGCTTGAAGAAAAATTAACAGAGTTGTTTCAGACGCTGCTTGAAATTCAGGAACCTGAAGAAATGTCATCACTCAAAGTAAGTAGATATGAAATCAATTTTGCAGATCCAGGGTAAACTGATGTGGGTTTCTCAGTACAAGTCTTGAAATTTTGGGAACTTGTTAAAATCATGAAAAGAATTACTAGTTGTCACTGTAAATACAAAAAGATAAAGAGCACCCCTCATGGATGTCTATAATATAACTCCAATAATCTGATATTACAGGCCCTGCTGCCTGGGATGTCTTAAGAGTTGATGTCAAAAAATCTTGAGATCTTGAATGCTTAGGCACATTCTTTGTGGATTTTATGCAAAATGTATCAAATTATACACATGTATTTTGTTATTGAGTTTTGACCTGATTGTGTATTATCTAGAGAACTACAAGGAAATTTAGTTATATGCGCTTCGACAATCCTTATTCTACCCCAATAGGAAGACTGTCTATGACTAGGTAAAATCTTGTAGGTTGTCTATTAAGATCTTTTCTCAAGCAGACTACCAGGCCCATAGAAAACAGCAAAACTGAAAGCTAAAAGCTAAAACTGTCAGCTATGTTTAATGCTATTTTTATGTAGCACAGTAACCAAATGGATTTTGAGGACAGTTGCTAACCAAATTGTCTCACATTCCAGAACTGTTCTTTAGTAGAAAACCAACAGATATGTTTCTTCCATGTGCAGAATACTTTATGGATATTCCCTTGGACTGGAAGGCTTTTGTAGTTTCTTCCACCTCTATGATTCTATGAGTTCCAGTGTCATGTCCAGTACACCATGTTCTCAATAAATAATTAACAGAACATGATGTATTTCACCAGTCTTATAGTAACATGTGCCCCTGCACCCAACAAGCAATGTAAACAGCACCTACCTCTAGAATATCTTAACAAACATATGAGCAAGAAAACAGAGAAAAGGGGGAAGAGAGGATAAAGAAGTCAGCATGTTAAAAAAAAACCCCATGATCTGTAGCTTTGCCCAACAAGGTGGAAATCAAATTAAAAGTGGAGGTTGGTGTAAGAAAAAATCACCTTAAATGTATTTTGGAAGAAGTCTTCAAGTGATGTTTGTGGTCTCATTGGGTGTGTTGCAACAACAGATTCCCAGATTAACTTAGTATTAACACCTTGTTTTATTTTTCGGTTGTTTAATATTTAAAGTTTCTTTTACTTAAGTAATATTTGTCTTTACTGTGCTAATGTAACATAAATTCTACGTAAAATTATACTATGTATTTTTGACATTAATACTGAACTCTGAAATATATACAGAAAGTCTTAGCTGACCTGATTGTTCCATGCCAAATGTGTATACAGTTAGTTTTGAAATACGTTGAATTCTTCTTCATTTTGCATTGTTAGGAATCTGGCTTTTTTTCTCATATCAAAATTTCTCTAAAAGAAATAACATTCAGCAAAACATCTACTTCATTAACTGAGGTATACATATACCCTTTTCACAAACTACCGCCGAGTTCTTTCATGATCACCATTTGTAAAGCAAATCCTAAACTGACTGGGGTGTTCTGTGTTATGGTGTCATGTATTGCTCAAAGAGTTAATAGGCTGTCCAACACATTCAATGCTCTTTAGGATCCAAATTATTATTTTGCTCTCTCTTCAGAATGTGGTGAAGCAACAGGACAGTCACCTCCAAAATCTGCTCAAAATAGTTCAAATCCAACATGCTCAGCTTGCCAAACAGCAAGAGCAAATACAGGACTTGAAAGAGAAGGTAAGCATGTTGTGTTCTGAATGGCCTTCTCTACAATAGTCATTGTAGTAATCCTTTCCAGTGAGTTTTTAGAACAAAGAACAGAGAAGAAAAGCAGAGGAATCTTTTCTCTAGATTTCCTAACTGCACTGTTTCTAAAGGAGGTGGTAGGAAGCCATAGAAGTCCAGGAGCTACTTCATTGCATCCTTCCTTGCAAACTCCCTTGGGTCAAATCCAAACATTGACATTAGAAATGTTCCAATTATTTCCAGTTTCTAAGATTTGGTAAATGATTTTTTCATGTATTGGGAAAAAAACAGAGAAAGGTATAGTGATTAACAGAAGTAAATAAATAATCACATCTAGTAAGTGTTTTATTTTAAAGAAATATTTGATAGTGGAGTTCAAGGGATGGAACAAAGAGTGCCATAAGTTGCATGCCACTCATAGAATGGACATTTCCCCTTCTGGCTCTAAAGTAATATCTAAGAAATCTGTGAACAATATGTCAGTTTTTCTGATATTTTATATATATATTTTAAAAAAATTCCTTATATTATAATTCAGTCTGAATATTACTTGAAAGATTTTATAGACCACAAAGCCTCCACTCAAATTACCGTTTTAGGTGTATTCCTGAGGTATTTTAAGCTACACACATAAACATATAATATGTAAACCAGTGGTTCCCAACCTGTGATCTGTGGACCACCAATGGTCTGCAAGAACTAAAATATGGTCCGCGGCCTCACCATTTCTAAACCGATGCAAAGAGAGTGACTGGTCATATGATACCCTCTTATAGTGCCAAGGCAACAGGGATGTCAGGAGGGGAGAGGCTGACTACCCACGAGCCATTCCATGTGGCGCCTGGAAGCGGGGGAACCTTAGAGTTTTCGTTTTTAGGCCTGATCCTGGGGTTATTTGGGATGCTGATTCAGAAAATTGCATTGGATAGACCACATTAACTCTAGATTATTCAATATGGTTTTCTGTGGTAGCAGGTGGAGGTTACTGGATAGTATATGTTCTATATCAGAAACTAGTGTTTATCTGATGTGTTTATCCATTGCAATTTTCTGAATCAGCACACCAAATAACCAATCCAAATCTAAAATTGACCAAAAACTGATTCGTAATCCTTTTGAAACTAATGTTGGAGAGTTGCCCCTGGTCAAGTGGTCCCTGAACAAAAAAAGGTTGGGAACCACTGATGTAAACAGAACATGGTCAGTTTTGTAACCACATGCAACCCACAGGACCCAATTTTGGTAAATTTGGGGAGGGATTTTAGCTTGCAGATTTTCCTTTGTTCAGTGTGGCTTCACTGGGTAGAATGTTTACAATTGCAGAATTTGGTTTTCTAGTTAAAGAGTTTTTTGTTTCCTACTTAAAGAGGTTTTGTTAGGAGTCAGATTTTGCTCACTTAAATAATATCTCGAGTAAGTCCTATTGAGTTCTACTGCAATTAACAAAATCAGCCCACTAATATGATTATGTAATGGAAAATGAGGACATTCGTAATAAGGTACATCATGCTCATGTGACAGGATATATCAAACACGATAAATGGATAAAACAGGTTTGTGGTATGGTGGGGGGAATTCATATGGCCTCAAAATGCGTATTCTGTCTTGGATTACAGATATTAAAAACTAGTGAATATATTGAAACTACAAAGGGAAAATGTTTTCCCCAATTCCTTGCTTACCTCCACAGCTAAAACAAATAGATCAAAGATTGAAATATCCAATATATTACATATTTTATTATGAACTGACTTCTGTTCAATGCCTAGCTCTAACTGTAGGGAGGGCAGTTCTAGAGCAGTCATAACTAGTGAGGGTCAAGTCTTGTATCAGTGTGCTATAACCTCCTTCCTCCCATGATCATGTTGGAGAAGAAGGAAGGACATATTCTTCTTCCACCTGCTAATGGACACCTCTTGGATGGAGACATTTATTCTCATTACCCAACACACCTTATGCTAGTCAGATTTATCAGCAGCACAATGGACACTTTTTCTGGAAATATTCTTACCACAGAGAAAAGTCAACATTTATAACCCTGACTATAGAGAAGTATGTGTGTGCACATTTATGTCCCAGGAACTTCCAATTATTGTTAGCTAAGGGTTTTATTAAGGGTTTCTCCCATCAATGAACATCTTCTGCTATCCATTTTCACTCCAAAGAATTTGTCTCTTTCATTTCAGAAAATTAACCCTGCTTTTCAAGAGGGTGCACAGCTACTACTCTCTACAAAGGAAGATGAAACAAGAAATGCTAAACTTAATGCAACATCTGAAATTCAATATTATGAAGGTACCTCACTCATGAAGGAAAAAAAATCTTTGTATAGACCAGGGATCCACAAACTGTTTAAACAGAGGGCGAGGTCACAGTCCCTCAAACTGTTGGAGGGCCGGATTATAATTTGAAAAAACATGAATGAATTCCTATGCAAACTGCACATATCTTATTTGTGGTGCAAAAATCACTTAAAAACAATACAATAATTAAAATGAAAAAATTTAAGAAATATAAATTTATTAGCATTTCAATGGGAAGTGTGGGCCTGCTTTTGGCTGATGAGATAGGATTGTTGTTGTTGTGTGCTTTCAAGTCATTACAGATAGGTTGACCCTAAGCGAGGGCCAGGCAAATGACCTTGGAGGGCCACATTCGCCCCCCGGGCCTTAGTTTGATATAGTATAGACCTGATATAGTATAGACCTGGTATAGACCATCATCTGTAAATCATGAAATAGCGTTATCATTGGTTGTGTGTTTACATAATCAATTGCCATCCTAGTGAATTTTCTGGGGTTCTGCCAATGCTGAAAAAGCAATTAACTATAAATGCATCTCAAACAAAATGCTGCAATGTATTCTATCTCCCAAAAGAAGTGTTCCTGTATAACAGGTCTGCATAATCTGTAGCCCTCCAGATCTTAGGGACGCCAACTCCCAGAAGTCTTAGAATTCCAAAGGGCAGGTATTCTGAGAGCTGAAGTCCAAAACACCCAGAGGGCCACATGTTATGCCGGCCTGCTGTACAGGTTTCCAACCAATTATCTTCTCTCGAGGCCCTTTCACATAAACAGCACCACAATTTCACTTCAAATGCCCAAGGAACCTCGGAGTCTATAGTTTAGGGAGGCACCAGTTTTCTGGATGAGAATTTTACATAACTCTCCCTAAACTGCAAAATCCCAAGATCCTGTGAGATATTTCTATGACCATCAAAGTGTAATCATAGTGCTATAATTCTATCATATTAAAGGGCCCAAAGCACTAGCATTCTGTTCTCCACCTACTATTCTATTTGTCCCATCCTTTTGTTGTAAAACCACTCTACATTCTGAGCATTTCAACACTCTCAGCCTTCAGACCTGTAAGTACTTGCCATCTGCACCTGCTGTTAGAACAAGTGCCATAAAATTTCGATTGAAGGATTTACTGATGGCGTTCTCTTACCACAACACTCACAGTTAAATGCGATAGTTAACTATCAGAAGCCCAGGAAGTTAAATCAGTTTTATCAGACACCTAGAAGGCAATGTTTAAACTCACATGAAAAGGAGAACAGTCTGTTTTAATAACTGTTTGACAGATATCAGATATATCTGAAAAGTATTGTATTTCTAGAAGAATATGCTGGTGTTTTCCCTTCAAATTTCTTCGTTGAATCATGTGGTTGTAAGTTTGAAACTGTGATTGCTTTCAGGCAATACTACTGATTGCTCTTGGATTTACAACAGAGGAGAAAGAACTAATGGCATTTATTCTATTAATCCCAGAGGATCCAAAGCATTTAACGTTTTCTGTGAGATGAAAACAGGTATGTCCACCTGTGCCACTTACTATTGCCTTGTTTCATTAAATCTCATCTTAATCTTTTGAAAAGTACTACCCACCCTAAAATCATGTTAAAACATTCTGTTGCTATGGAGTGTATGCATTGATTACATAATTTTTCCTAAAAACAACCATAACATACAAATGTTTATGACATTTATGGTTTTAGAAAAGACTTAAAACATTGGCAGAGATCTGGGAGAATATTTTCTAACTGCAAAAACAAAGAGCCCTATTAATTAAATATTAATGTACAGCACACTTTACTATTTTGTCTCTAAATCTATGGCACAACAATATTTTTCTGCCATTAATAACACCAAAAGGCATTTACTTCAACTATTACATTTCCTTTCTTGGATTCACAACCAAAGGTTTGTGTCAGATCAAATGACAAGCAAATGTTCAAACTTTTGATCTTATTCCATGAGCCATCACACGAAAGGAATATTTTTTAACATTCATCTAATATCTTTTTTCATGAAATGGTACATTTGTCCCATTTCTGAACATCAGAGGTAGTTGCACACAACAAATGATTTCAGCATAATGATTTCTCAACACTTCTTCCATCTTGGGAAGCCACACTAAGAATTGTTTGCTTTATCAAACTGGCAATAACCAATATCCTAGTAGAACTGACTGGTGAGCATTTATCTGTCTTGTAGTGAAGATCATGATGTTTGTTATCTATTTTCTCAGCTATGTAATGTGTCATCTGTTTTCTCTACACATATCTTTTCCAAACTTTCTACATATATACTTTTGATGAAACCAAACAAACAACACAAAACCGCAAATGGGGTTTGTTTGCTAATGGAATTGCTTTCCTCAGTGAAACTGGAAATAGCAGTTCACATTTCCATCCAGACATCCTGAAAAATGGCACCAGCACAATATTGGATTTAGACCTTTGGTACAAATGTGCCTCTTTCAGTGGTGGGGAGTTTGGATGAAGAGTTAGCATGAAAGGTGACACACAGATATCAATTCAATCAACACTGCGCACTGTGTGTGTGTAGCAATAGGGAAGCCCAATTGTCCTTCTGCATCCCACAATAAGTAGAGTTGGCATGAATAATTGCCTGTATCATGAGACTCTGGATGGCACTCAAAGAAACCTATTCCAGGTACAGTTGTGTCTTATTTTTTTAATAACAAGAAATGACAATTTTAACTGGGAAATACCAGTCCTTCACATTAAAATGAAGAAGAAAAAAGACCAACAGTACCAGTCAGTTGGTAAAAAGGTCTAAGGCCCCATTTATATTTTATTTATCCACAGAAAGTTCATGGACAGTCATTCCAAATAGATTGAATGGATCGCGAGATTTCAATCAAACCTGGGAGGACGATATAAATGGATTTGGCAACCTCGATGGTACATATCTTCCTTCTCTTGCTACATGGTTTTCCCAGAGGCTGAAAGTAGTTATGTGGTAATGCTAGTGTGTGTGTAGCAATAGGGAAGCCCAATTGTCCTTCTGCATACCACAATAAGTAGAGTTGGTATGAATAATTGCCTGTATCATGGGACTCTGGGTGGCGATCAAAGAAACCTATTCCAGGTACAGTTGTGTATTTTTTTTAATAAAAAGAAATGACCATTTAAACTGGGAAATACCAGTCTTTCGCATTAAAATGTGAAGGCACTGAAAAAAAAAGACCAACAGTACAGCCAGTTGATAAAACAGTCTAAGGCCCTATTTATATTTTATTTATCAACAGAAGGTGGATGGACAGTCATTCAAAACAGATTGAATGGATCGCAAGATTTCAACCAAACCTGGGATGACTATATAAATGGATTTGGCAACCTTGATGGTAAATATCTTCCTCCCCTCCTACATGGTTTTCCCAGAGGCTGAAAGTAGTTATGTGGTAATGCTAGTTAAATGACGCTTGTACAAAAAAACAAAAAACAAAAAACAAAACAAGAAACAAACAAATACAAGCTTGGTGTTCCAAATTCTTGTCTAGGGCTATGTTTTAACTTTTCAACTTCCACAATACCAGTCTAAACTGGAGCAGTGAACAGGTTCTCTTAAAACTGAAATAGACATTAATGCATTTTTTCATTTTGAACAACATGGGCATAAAATCAACAAATTAGCAACCATATATGTTACATGTGCATGTTTCAATTAAGATAAACAAAATGTGCAGTGATGTGATGCTGATTCCCTCAACTGTGAATGTATTCTTTATTTGCCAATTATATATTCTACAGAAATAATGTTACATTAATTTTAGGCAATTTACCCAGCTTTATATTCATGTGTGCTAAATAGTTTTCCAGTTGAGTGTTTAAAAAACTAATGTTAGCCTTGATTACTAATCTTCTGAGGAGGTTATTAAATTACTAATTTCAAATCTGATTATTCTTTTGACTTAAGCATCATATAGCTTGTTAGTAAATTGTCTGGTTAGTCTTTCAACCTCAACATTAATTAGAAGAAGCAAAAGAATATATTTAAAACAGATCAAGACAGCAGCATTTGTTTGACTGTATTCAGGCATTCACTGGCCTGCGGAGGGGAATCCCATCCATACATGTCTCCATGGTCCTGTCAGAACATAAGAATGTTGCATACAAAAATCTGAAAAGGTCTGTGTAACCAAGTTAATCTGACCATGGTTACAGATAAGTGTTGTATGATAAGAAACACTTATACAACCTTCTTATCTTAAGAGCTTTGAAACACAGTGAAACCTGTGTGCAACAGATAGTTTTTTGGGCTTAATGGCCAAAGAAAGGTTTAGGACATCTTGGTTGTTACTCCCTAGTGATAGCATTTTCTCATGCAAAATACTAGATTGGTCCCTTCTCTGCTATCTTTCCTTCAAAGACCTTTCAGTTCATCCAGGCTTTGGACTGTTTAATGGCCTTTGGGGTCTGCTGTATTTTTATCATGAGATTAATAGAGTGGGTTCCTGGTATCCGCTGTGGTTTGGTTTCATGACACCACATGCATAACAAAACCCATGAGCGCTCAAGTCCTATTATATAAATGGCATAGTGCAATGGAGTACATTATATAAGATAGCAAAATCAAGTTTGCTTTTTTTGAATTTGTTTTTGACAACTTTAAAACAATGGCTAGTTGAATATGTAGATGCAGAATCTGTAGATACAGGAAGCCTACTGCATTTCTACTCTTTTTTAATCCCACCATGAGTGCATGGTTCTTTACCTCTGAATAGTACTTAGACATGAAAATGCCCTCCAGGTATTTGGGACTCTAACTCCCAGAAACCCAAGCCTGATTGTCCAATGGTCAGCAATATGGGGAGCTGAGGTCCAAAACACCTGGAGGTCCAAAGATTGTGCAGGCCTGCTCTATAGGTACTAGCCAGTGCATATTTACATGGGAACAAGGTTTGCTGAAGTGATTATGGCTTCTTTCTATGTAAACATGCTTAATGTTGCACTGCACGTAGTCTACTTAATTAATATGTGCTTCAGTAAATGACACTACCAAAATGTCCATTAAGGGTGTATTTCTTTTCTCACAGATGACAGTCCATTTCCATTGCAATTAACTTTTTATATATGTCACTTGCTTCACTTATCACAAAGATTCATTCACACACTTCTATTAAGTATGCCTTGAACTCTCCCTTGCAGACTCTGATAAGTACCGCAGTTCCATTCTATTTATATTTAGCTGCCTTTTTAATTGTTCATTAGTGCACAATATAAAAGATATAAACCAAGAGACTGAGAGTCAGATTTACAGGAGAAATTATCTGAAAAGTTCAACAGTTCCCAAGACTCAGGTCATCTCCTGAATTAATATAATTAGTAAATGTGATTAGTAAATCAGATGCTTTATCTTGCTTTCAATCTGCCCTAATAGCTCTATTTGTGTGACTTGATTTCCAGGAGAATTTTGGCTTGGCCTACATAAGATCTATTCCATTGTAGGCCATACAGACTACATCCTACGTATTGAATTAGAAGACTGGAGAGCTAACAAACATTATATTGAGTACACATTAAAGATGGGAGGACCAGAGACAGATTACGCTGTTATTCTGTTCAGGATTACTGGTAATATCCTCTATGCTCTGCCTGAACAAAAAGAGCTGAAGTTCTTGACAAAAGACCATGGCAATAACACAGAGAGAAACATCAGCTGTCCAGAAAGTGATTCAGGTAGTCGTTTTCTCTTTTGTCCCTTTAGTAATCAGATGATGATGATGAAGAAATAGCTTATTAAAATAAACAGCAATGTTATAGATCGCTTAAATTGAATGATCACAGCCCTCAATCCAATGTAACATTACTGTATTTACAATCCCCACCAATTTACACTTGCACTAGATTTCACTTTTTGCACAACCAGGGATGCAAACTTGTTGTACAAGAGGCCATGAACTGAAAAGGCTTATCTCTTCCACAGCTAGGAGTACAACCACTTTGCACCACTGTTTCTACAAAATGTACAACTACCAGAAAAACAGGTTGTGCATAAGCATAATGATATATTTGGATGCAGGCCAAAGACTTACTATCCCCAACAACGAAGTGTTAGGAGCCAAATAACAAATTCAAAAGAATAAATCACAGCTTTAAGTGCTGTTTGAAAATTGGATGCTGAAGACATCTTAGCTTTGCAGAGCGGTTTCATAGAATATGGGTTATCCTCATGTCCAAAAGAGCCTGACAAATCTATATATATGGAAAGGTTCTACTAAAAGAAACCTTTATTTTGAGGATTTGAACCTTTTAGTCAACCTCCATGTGATTTGCAGTGTTCAAAACTCCCAACCACATTCAGTAAGATACACATGATACAACAGGATTGTCAGAAAGCAGCACAAAAAAATGTGGGAAATGGTGTCTACACAGGAAAGGCACTCAAATGGATCTATTCACTATCGCCTTGGTTAATGTGATGATATTTGATCTTAGCTGTGCTAAATAGTGTTTGTAATATTATCTTTAGGTGGTTGGTGGTACAGTGGATGCGAAGAAACTAACCTGAATGGAAAATATATCAAACCAAGCTCAAAAGGCAGACTAGAAAAGAAGAAGAGGGGACTGTACTGGAAACCTCAAAAAGGAAGGCCCTACCTTCTCAAGTCAACAAAACTGATGATCCATCCTACAGATTTTGAAAATTTTTACTAAGTATCTTCAGAGTAGATCTGAAAACCATAAACTACTTCAACTGGAGCTGAACATAGGCTCTTTTTGGTGCTCTAAAAACTGGACTGGAAATTTCATTGTGCCTTTATATATTTCTTTACATGGTTATCCTGTGTTTCTTCATATGGTTCTCTCATATAAAACCCCTTTCTCTCAACTGAAATAGGTCTTGACACAGAAAGGAAAAGAGACATGCCATGACTTAAAAGAAGTAGACCAAGGAAAAATCTTCTCTCACACACCAGGGATAGCAAGGAGATGAGCTACATGATACAGTAAGAGTTCATTACTCTGCCACCGCCTGAATTATGCCATGCTATCCCTTGCTACTGCTGTGCTTTTTCGACCAAAACATAACCTGAACCACCAGTTACACCAACACAGAACACATACAAGATTCTGGTCTATGAATGCAGGTTGTACTTAGGATCACCAGCAGCTATGAGCCATCATAACAAATTCTAGTAAGGTAGGCATGCTAATGTATTGCAGAAAAGAAAATAGAATCTTGTGCCATCTTAAAAGAGTATTATGGCAAATTTATTACAGGTTTGTTAATCTTTAGGATACTACAGGACTGTTCATTGTTTTTTAATGCTCAATCCTACAGGCACCTTATAATTTAACTTTAATTCCATTTATAACATCCTGTGGCAAATTAAAATAGGAACTATGTACTTTGCAAAGAGTACTTGTTTTTGCTTTTTTCTAAAAAAAATCTGCTGTGTCACCTTGTAAAGTTCACTTGTTCTCATTAAGGAGTGATTTAAGTCATCCCCATACTATAATGTTCATCCTTCGTTGAGATCAATGGCAATTAATAAGTAAACAAACCTGTCATTGCAAATGACATTAGCAAACTGATGACCAAATTCTAATGGCAAGATAAGGACATTTGGCTCCTTAGTAATACAAACTAATGACACACATCAACAGCTGCTATAATGATGTTTCCTCTCCAGTGCTTCCACGCTGCTGCAAGAAGCCAATCTCTGGTGTTCAAGTTCTAGAACAAGACCTTCTGTAAAGATGTTTGACTATATTGTACATATATTATCTGGTACCATTGTGTCCTTGCTAAGGATTTTAGCAGTGCTGATTTATGGCAGACTCCCCAATGGTTGGCTGACCATAATTATCCCTCTCCCCTAATCCCTAAAAAATGTACATAGTTGAAAAGAGTCTCTTCTTGATTTGGCATTGAGGAATATTAACATTCTCCTTGAGATACAAGATATTTGCCTGATACCAGAAGAGCACATTTTTAGACAAGTCTATTCACAATACTCTTAAGTATCTGGCTACCAAATATGTTTTATAATGATTTTTTTTTTGCAGAATTTTGTCTTTTATGCCACTGTAAAACAGAATTTTACAGTGGCATTATATATAAAACCAATTCTGGAAGTAAATGCCTTTCAGCTGAGTTCAATATCTGTAGCATAGTACATGACCTATGGAGAAGGAGGCCACCTCATCCACAACAGTGGCAAGGCAAGCTTTCCTATCTGTAGATAGCACAGGCAGAAGGGCCGACAAGAGGTCCATAGATAGTGGCACAAATATTAACAACACTAAAGGCTCAAAGCAAGCATCTGGGAAAAGTTAATGTTGGGAGAAAAACCCATGGAAACTGAGCTCTGTGTCTTTCCTAGAGCACCAATTCAGTTCCAAGTGTATGTTCTCACTATACAGCTTCCTTAGGGATATAATTGAAATAAATACAGCTAGCCCTACACATCATGGACTTAACCTTTGCAGGTGTGATTATTCATGTTTGCCATTAATAATTAAATGGGAATTTGGGGAAAATTGCAGTCACTAGGGATGTGTCATTACAAAACTGGGGGGGGGGGGGAAGGAGAAGTTCTGCAATTTCATTTCTAAAGTGTTTCTAAACTATAGTGAAAAATGTGTTACTATGATGGAAGTAACGAAATTTCATTACTACTTTGTTATAGTAATTGTGCATAATTTGTATAACTGGGGAAACTTCAGGGCACTTTTCTCCCTCATTTGTATTGGAGTGAAATTTACTACAATGGTAGAACACATTTACTTGTACCACTGTTAGCTCACCAAATTTCAGAATGTTTCACTTATTCACTGATTTTTCGTGGAGTTTTCAATGTTTTTTATAAACAACATTAAAAAAACTACAAGAGCTACCTATTTGAATTTTATAAATAATGCACAAGATAACTAGGGCATCAATCTTCAGAAGTTTCAGAAAGATTCACGCATCTACAGATTTTTGGGGATTTTTAAAAGTTTAGACAAAAACAATTTATCACCTCTAAATGTGACAACAGCAATCTCCTTGAATGTCTGTCTGTCTTTATGACATACAACCACATAGCTTCAACTTAGAACAGATTGCTTACTTACTTTAGTCCTCTAAGCAGATTCAATAATTTTATTATTAGTATTAGACTGACTCTAAACAGCCGGTGCAATTGCGGCTTTCTGATGCTGAGTATTGCATTCTGGGAAATGTTGTTTAGGGCACGGGTGGCCTCGCCTCCCAAACTACATTTCTAAGAACTCTGCATTCAGTCTCCTGCCCATTAACTTCACTAGTGCCGCCCCCACTGCCTTTGCTTACGGCGACAATCAGGCCAAAGAAAAACAGGATTGGTTTTTAAAACACTTTATGGTAGGATGGAAGGAGCCCTTAGCCCTTGCAACTCCTCCCCAAAGTTTTTACACTTTGAGGAGGAGTTGCACCCCAAACCCAGCAAATACAAAGGGTCAACTTTATGCAAAAAAACAAAAAACAAAAAATAGACATTAAATAGAATAGCCCCTACAGGAAACAAAAGGTGAAAGGTGCTTAAAAATTGCTAAATGGTTTAACCACCAATTCAACATCCCTTTACTAACTCTCACTACAGTTGTATGCACATTAATGCAGATGTTTGGTCAGATATGCTCAAAATAATAATAATAATAATAATAATAACAACAACAACCTTATTTAAAATAAGCATCGAAAAACAAGCAATTAGCTCCTGTTAGTAGTCTGGTTGCAGATCTTTGAACCAACTGTAGTTTCCGGGCTGTCTTCAAAGGCAGCCCCACATAAAGTGTGCTGCAGTAATCCAATTTGGAGGTAATTGGGGCATGGACCACCATGGCAAGTCAGACTTCATGAGATACGTCGCAGCTGGCACACAAGCTTAAATTGCACAAAGGTCCTCCCAGCCACCGCCGACACCTGGGCATCAAGTGTCAAAGCGGAGTCTAGAAGGACTGCCAGACTACGGACCTCTGTTCTCAGGGGGAGTGTGACCCTGTCAAGCACAGGTTGGCACCCTATTCCTGATTGGCCCCATGACTGACCTGGAGGACCTCTGTTTTGTCAGGATAAACCTTCAGTTTGTTAGACCTCATCCAGCCCATCACAGTGGCCAGGCACTGGTCAAGGATCTGGGGGGCTTCCTTGGAATCTGGTGGAAATGAGTAATAGAGTTGTGTGTCATATGCATAGAGATTGCACCGAACTCCAAAACTCCAGATAACCTCACCCAGCAGTTTCATGTAGATGTTGAAAAACATAAGGGAGAAAATAGAACCTTGCAGAACCCCACAGGTCAAAGGCCAGGGGTCTGAGCAGGTATCCCCTAGCTTCACTCACCGGCTACGACCCTCAAGGAATGATTGGAGCCACTGGAGATCAGAGCCCACAAGACCCATTCCCGAGAATCGACCCAGAAGGATACCATGATTGATAGTAATGAAAGCTGATGAGATATCAAAGAGAACCAACAAGGACAGAGGAGGTCATCCACTGAGGTGACCAAAGCCATCTCCATACCATGACCAGGCCTAAAGGGTGTTACTCTTATGTAAATGTGAATACGACTGTAGCCATAGTTATGCTTACAATCATAGAAAAGAAATTATGGCATAATAAAAATTATGTTCAGTATTTGGAAGAACAATTAAAAGATAAAACAGTGATATCTATCTTCAATTTTAAACAATGGAATTTTTTTTGTAAAAATCTGGAAGGAAAACTAACAAAGCAAAGATTGATATAGAGAAACATTTTTATAAATAGAAATAGAAATTATATGGAGGTTAACCAGTGAACCATAGGTTAACCAGTGTTACCTTATTAGTTCATAGCAGCAGCAGTAGTAGTAGTACAACAACACTTTATTTATATTCCACCCTATCTCCCCATGGGGACTCTGGGAGGATCACAGTACACATACACGGCAAACATTCAATGCCGTTTTGGATTGACAAAGACAGAGACAGACAGAACAGAAGGAGATATGTTGTGTGCCTTGGAAGGTTGTGCTCAAAATCCAACCACAGGGGGTGCTGTTGCTCCATCTTCTATGTCAAAGAGCCATCAGGACTTCCTCCTTCCTTTTGGTTGCCTGGCAGTTTCTGATCTTTTTTGCTTGTTTTAACGGTACCTAATTTCTCCAATTACAGCACAAGTTGTTTTTGAACTGCTTAGGTCAACAGTAAGCTGGGCTTGACAGTCAGCAGCTCATGCCAACCCACGGCTTCAAACTGGCAACCTTTTGGTTGGTAGATCTTATCATTACTGGCAATTTACCAGCTGTGCTAAACCCCGGCACTTTGCACTGATAGTTGCAATGGAATTGTCTTCCACTCCTTTCCTTGCTGGTCAAAATAACAGCTCTGAATGTTTTCCCAGGCCTCTAGAGCCAATTGTAGACATGCAAGGAGGTTGAAATAGTGAGGAAAAATTACCCCTCCCAATTCTGCTGGACCCCACCACTTTACCAGCTGGATCCTTCACAATTCTGGAAATATGCACTAAATTGAGAACTGGTGACTAATCACACATGTAATAAAATCTAGAAGCATAAAGCATATCTCTTATGGATTCACTAAATAAACAGTCTAAAAATCCTCTTAGAATCTCTAATATCTGAGCAATTAGCTGATGGTGGAATGGATTATCCTTAACAATGAATTTATGTGGCTTTGGCAATTATGCCTATCCTCAAATCTACTTTTTGCTCTTACCTGTATGTTGTATTTGGCACATAAACATCTTTCGCGGGAAACTCAAG